AGTAGTGTACAGGATGCTTTGGAAGATCCCAAATGGACTAAGGCGATGAATGAAGAGATGTCAGCTCTACAGAGAAATGCCACTTGGGAACTTGTTTCACTACCCAAGGAAAAGAAGACAATTGGATGTAGATGGGTGTTCACGGTGAAACTCAAAGAAGATGGAAGTATTGACGGGTATAAAGCGAGACTAGTGGCAAAGGGATATACACAAAGGTATGGAATAGACTACCAAGACACTTTTGCACCAGTAGCCAAGATAAATACCATTCGCATTATTATTTCTAAAGCAGCAAATCGAGATTGGCCCTTGAAACAATTCGATGTTAAAAATGCTTTTCTCAACGGAGACTTGGAAGAAGAAGTTTACATGGAGCTACCTCTTGGTGTCAAATGTAGTTCCATGCGTGGAATGAAGTATGTAAGCTGAAAAAGTCCTCATACAGACTAAAACAGTCACCCAGGGCGTGGTTTGGGAGGTTTTTAGCGACAATGAAGGAAGCTGGTTATAAACAGAGTAATTCAGACCATACTTTGTTTATAAAACACAAAGAAGGAAAGGTAACGGTGTTAATAGTGTATGTTGATGATATGGTATTAACAGGAGATGATTTGTTCGAAATGAAGGCACTACAAGAACATTTGGCTGCTGAGTTCGAAAGAAGGATCTTGGGCAGCTTAAATATTTCTTGGGGATTGAGGTGGCAAGATCGATCGAAACACGGAATTTTTCTTTCACAACGAAAGTATGTGTTAGATCTTCTCACTGAAACTGGAATGCTTGATTTTAAACCAGCAGAAACATCTATAGAGATGAATCACAAGCTTGGGATTCTACCAGATCAAACTCCAACTGATAAAGTTCGTTACCAACTGCTAGTTGGGAGGTTAATCTACTTATCACACACAAGGCCAGACATAGCGTATGCTGTAAGTGTTGTAAGCCAATTCATGCATACGCCAAGTGAAGACCATATGGATGCAGTCTATCGAATTCTAAGATATTTGAAGTGTGCTCCAGGGAAAAGGTTTATTGTTCTCAAAAAATGATGTCTCAAACATTGAAGGATACACGGACTCCGATTAGGATGGTGACCAGACAACTAGAAGATCGATGTCAGGTTATTTTACATTTGTTGAAGGCAATCTCGTCACTTGGAGAAGCAAGAAGCAAAAGGTTGTGGCAAGATCAAGCGCCGAAGCTGAATTTCGAGGAATGGCCCAAGGTGTGTGAGAGATGTTATGGATCAGGAACATACTCAAAGATTTGGGGATTGATTATGCAAAACCCATGAATCTTAACTGTGATAATAAAGCAGTCATAGAGATTGCCCAGAATTCTGTACAACATGATCCACAAAACATGTTGACGTAGATCGTCATTTCATCAAGGAGAAGCTTGACGAGAAAACTACAATTTCCATTTGTTCAATCCGAAAAGCAGTTGGCTGATATGCTCACAAAAGCAGCATCAGCAAGGGTTTTCATGACATAATTGACAAGTTGGGCATGATAGATATACATGCTCCAACATGAGGGGGAGTGTCTGCATGAGCGGTCAATTATTGAATTGATTGATTTTGTAATTACTTCTAGGAATCTGTTAATTGACCAATCTTGTATCTAAATAGAGAAACAATTGGTTTCCCTTCTTTAGGATGTAATTACCTTCATATATTGCCTCTGATTTGGAGAAGAATACGAATTGAATTATTTAGCATTGAAACTTTTGTTTGACAACGTCAATTCCACTTTATATGCTAATAAAATTGAATAATTTTACATGCTCTTGCTATAGTAATCATATATCGTGTGTGTCTCACAATAAATAAGAAATTCGTATATATTGCACGGAAAATCCCAATTGCACGGGGCTTGTAGTGTTTCATTTATTGTCTCAATACATCTTTTTGAAGTTTTCCTGAAGAATACCT